GTTGGAAAGTGTTAAGAAGCAGCCATGCTGACACCATTGGTTTCATCTTCAGTTCTTGAAAAAGTGCTGAGGGTGTGACTTTCAGCTGCCAATCCTGGTGACTAGGACAGTTTTACTTCACAGTTGCATAGTCTTGCATTACTTACTTCTTTGAAAGTCTCTGATGATTATAGACCTCCTTTCCTAGTCTTACTATACTTCAGCTACTTTGTTCATTGTGAATGTTCTTTAAGAACTCCTGCTGCTTTGGTTAGAAAGTCATGGCATCATTCTATAATAACATATATATATACATATATATGTATATATATATATATATATATATATATATATATACACACACACATATACATGTCCTTCCTGCCACTCTTTTTGTAGTACTAGGAATTAATCCAAGGGCCTTATGCACGTTATATACGTGCTCTTACAGTAACCTATATCACTAGTCTACTTTGACTTTTAAGACATGGTGTTGCTAAATTTCTCAGGCTGACTTTGTACCCATTCTGTAGCTCAGGCAGGCTTTAAACTCACAGTCCTTGTGCCATAGGCTCAGCAAGGAATTATTCAAGAAGGAACACCTTGAGTTATCAAAAACACCACAGTTTCTCCTTCCTTGGTCTGTATTGGGCGTTTCTGAGTTCCCATATTATCTTAGCTCAGCACATATTGTACTCTGGAAAACTGTTGATGAATATGTCTCAGTATCCTCCCCATATTCCATCATGATGACAACTCTCCTTTTCATTTCCTTCATCTAACAATATATAAAAAGCAAAAACAAATGGATGGATGAATAGAACCAGGATAATTCTAGGTCAAACCTTTAAACTCCCTTTGTTGAAGAAAAATTCATTTATTATAATCTGAAACAAACCAGAATGCCCATTCTTTTGTAGTAACCTCCCCATTCCACTCAGGAAACCTCTCAAAGTTTTTTGAATCAAGAGGTTTTGAGAAAGTAAAGCAACATGATGAGAATGACTCCTCCATGCTGCTTTTGTCCTTTTTGACATTTACATCTTGTATGTGATCAGAAATTTGTAACTCAAATGAACAATGTTCATGATAATTAGCCATTCTTAATACAGTACTGATTGAAACCTTTCTCAAAGGTTACAGTGTTTTGCATAGATTACTAAATTATCTTCAGAATGCACCTGCAGTAGGTGACCACCCACTCAGAGTTCACATAGTCTAAAAACCAAGATTTCTTTTTTTTTCAATTCAAAAGTTTTTAATAAGCAACTTCATTATAAAAACTTTTTTGAAAATTAATTCTGTAAAACATTGAAAAATCTACTTTAACAAAGATATGCCCTGTGCCTTTTCTAATGGCACTTATATTTTACAATTCAAAACCTTGTTTTATATAAAGCCAAAAATACTTCCAGAGATTATTCAGTGTGTTTACAAAGTGTTAGAAGGTTTTGTCTTGTAATTTTCTTTCTTTAAATAATCTGGCATTAAGAAAGAGTAGCTACAAAGATTTAACCAACTGGGAGTGAGAGAAGGGAATGAAGTGCTGGTCAGGAATTCTAGTGCCAGACATGCAGAGGTTGCGCATGTGAGAACTGGCAGCTGACGCCAGGCAATACCTGAAGCAAGTTGACAGGAACAACTCCACACAGTCCAAGATTACACAGTGAACACCCTTTCCACACCAGATCCCACTCTCCAGTCGCAGCAACTTCCTTCCACAGCAGGTTCAGAGCTCCAGGAGAAGCCAGGATGAGGTCCCAGAGAAATCTGGACTTTGCTGACCAACACCTGCCTAAGGCAAAGTTTCTTATTACATAAATATCCTTGTTAAAAAGTAAAATATTGATCCTGTATAATACAACCTTTTTTTTAATCATGGAGAAGGGGTGAGGAAAATAGCTACCAAATAGAGAAGGGAAAACTTAAAGGCTACTAAGGGAACAACCAAGATTTCTGTGAGGTTTTACCCCCTCTGGACTCAATAAAGGACAAAACAAAGTTCAAGCCTATAGTGGCAGTAGCTGCTTTATTACTTTATTACTTGTAGATGGTCTTAGGTCAGATACTGAGCAGTTACAGGAAGATGAAGAATGAGGTATTACTGTAATACTAGTCATGAAGCCTATAGAGATCAAATGTTTGGGGAGTTTAGAGAAAAAGGTGAATGCTTTCACCTAACGGTGTGCTACAGGTGCCTTTAAGTGAGTGTTTACCTGACCCTGGTGAGTGATGCCTGAAGTTCTTAATTCAAGGCCCATAGGTCCAAGTCCCTTGTTAGACAATTTGTGAAGAAGCAATGTGGTCTAAGAGACTCATCACTGAACTAAAAGCAGGGAGATTCCACTTCTGATCCCAGCTGTGTGTCCTTAGTGAAGCCACTTGTTCCCTTCATAACAGCAACTGCATGCAGTTTTCTAGTAGAATACTGCTGCCCATGTGGCTTTCAGATTCCTCCTTGGTTTCCTATACACATCACAGATAAGCCTGAATGGCCATAACACGTATGCCTAATGCTCACAGCACCTGCTCCTTTTCTGGTACTTGTCACTCCCTTTTATGAAAAGTGTGTGTCAACCACCATGATGGACAGTAGGCTTCGTGAGGACAAGAGCCACATTCATTTCATCTTTATGTCCCATAAGACATACACTTACCTCTATCTTTTGTGTCTTTAAACTGTGAATCTCATCTGACTCTTTGTAATGTATTGACCCATATAGTTTTTTATTATCTTGAAAGAAAAGAATGTCATCTACCACTGTTCCCATCTATCAAGAATTGCATATTCATACCTTTACAACTAATGGAAACCGTAATCTTCATCTACCATATGCACTGTTGTCTTCCCCATTACCCACTCCTCTACTTCCTATAATCTGGAGCTGGCCCTGTACTCCATAGATACTGCTTTTAACAAAAATCCCTAAACCTAGAATTACTTAACCTAGAAAGATATTTTAGCATTATAGCCTTCAACAGCATCTGCTCTGATCATTTCCTTTGTTGTTTTTTTTGTTTTTGTTTTTAGATTACTTTAGTTGTATGTCTATGAGTGTTTGACCTGCATGTGTGCGTGTGACCCAGAGGTCAGAAGAGTTCTCCCAGAACTAGAGCTACAGCCACTTTTGAGTCACCATGAGGGTGCTGTGAACTGAATCTAGTTCCTCTACAAGAACAGTCAGTGCTTTTAGCCACTGAATCATCTCTCCAGTCCTAACTTCCTTATTCCTTTTTTTTTTTTTTGGAGGGGGAGATTTTGGTTTTTTTGGTTTTTCAAGACAGGGTTTCTCTGTGTAACAGCGCTGGCTGTTCTAGAACTTGCTCTGTAGACCAGGTTGGCCTCGAACTCACAGAGATCTGCAGTTCTGCCTACCTCTACCATCCAAGTGCTATGATTAAAAGTGTGTGCTACCACCACCACCCTGCTTAACCTCCTCATTCTTAAAATGCCCCTGTCATGGCTCCCTCCCCTTGTGCCAGCAACTTGAACTGTCCTCCCTAAGATGATGCCTTCCTATTATATACCTTCAGTGGTCTGTGCTTACTCTTGGTTCCTTTCAGTTCATTAATTCCTGTGGCTTCCACTGCTACCTCCCATACTGGATCCTTTATCAAGCTTGAGCCATGCAGGCAAGGTGAAACAAATACAACACATCTTTCTTTGCCTAGTTAAACAAATGCAACATATCTTTACATAGTTAATGTCATATTCCATGTCACCCTCAAGTAGTTTCTTCTCCACAAATTGAATATATGAATGTATGGGTTGGGAATGCTAGTAGATAATGCATCTTGAGGCCTATGCTCTATGGATAAAACCATCCTGCCTTTCAGGGCATACAACAGCTCTAAATTACTTAGGGTCTTATCACTTGGCAGTTATTTCTCACTGTCTTCTTCCTTTGGTATTCTAAAGACACTTGGCAGACATTTGGCACACATGCAATACCTGATAATAATGTCCCATCATGTAAGTGCCACAACTAAGTACCATTCCTCTTTCATTTAAATTAGATAAAACACAGAGCTGTGGCTTGCAAGTAATGGAAGTCCACTGGGGAAATTAAAAGTTCACAAAGAGTGGACCCATTATAATAAAAGGTTTTGCACAGCCAGTGATTCTATCCACCCTGTGGCTTTTCTGTTCCTTGGGGGTATGATGAAATATCAAATAAGAGGACCTTAGGAAATAGTTTGAGGAATTTATTTTAATTGGAAATAGTGATAGCATTCTGCACTTGGAGTAAACTCTGGATCATACACAGCAGTGTCATCATCTTTGTATAATGAACCATAGAGCATCCAAGTCTGCCATGGTTCAGGATCTTAGCCTCATTTGTTTCAAGTTTTCTCTATTCCTGCATATTACTAGCTGAATTAATGGGCTCATGTCTCTCTCCTTCCCTTGTTCCTATTGTTCCCTTTATCCCTGTAGTTCTGCATTATATACTGGTACCTAACTCAAGCCACTGATAGACCTTCAAATATTTCCTATTGGGACTTGAGATAAACCCAGAAAGCAAGCAGAGTAGCTGGTACCCAAACAAAAATGATTATCATTTAAGTGGTATAGCCATAACACTAAATTCTTCAAAACATTCTGGGCCCTGCTCATGCATTAAGCACTTTACACATGTGCTGTCATCTAACTCTCAGAATCCTTCTCTACACATGAAGAAACAATATTAGAGAAGTTACACTAGCCCAGATTACCTATCTGTGATTGCAGAGCTAGAATTACCTATAATATAAAGGTAGAAGTTATATTGAATGGCAAAGCCGGGTTTCATACTCCAGCCTGACTCTAAAGTTCAAGTACTATTCCAGTGTTCCATGGCTTGAGGGCTAGATTCCTGAACATAAAATTAGGTAACAAACTAAGGTAATATCACCATTTAGAAGCCTTGTTATTAATTATGTGTCCTTATAATTATAACAGTACTTCACTCGTATCATATTTCTTAAATTGATTTTACAGTTGTTCAATCTGCCTTTACTTTCTCACTTTTATATTTTAGATGCATCATCCCATTCAGATGAAACCTGCAGATAGTGAAAAGTCAAACGGTAGGTGGTAACAAACTGTCTAATGTAATAATATCTGCTACTTTAGATCAAGTCAGGTGGGGAGGGAGGAACCAGCTCTAGTTGTTTCCCTCTGGAAAGTGGACAGCTACTGCTCAAGGAACTTTGCATTATGGTTAGCACCTCTGGTGAAATTTGTGCTCCACTCTTCTTTTTCATTTATCTGTGAAGGCTGTGACAAGGAATGGTTTTCCACTTCCTTTGCTTAGAGCTTTCCCTATCTGATAGTCTCGTGGGATTTGGCTAGTATTGATCCACTCCTAGTACCTAACGAGAGGGGAGAACATAAGTGGAAAATGAGTAGTCCATTAAGAAATAGATCATCATTTTTTGCTCTCAAATTGTTTATCTTTGACTGTCTTACTACATTTATCTCTAAATTGTACTAATACATTTGCACCAGAATCCATTCAGAATTCAGTCTGCTGATTAAATGAACATACAGTTGCTGCAAAAAATATGTATTTGATGAATCTATAACAAAATTGAGATTTGCCTCTTTAAGGTACTTCAGGGTTGATAGTCCACATTTTTTTCAAGTTTTTGTTTCAGTTTCTACAAGCCTCCTGCCCTGTTTTGTTCTTTTATTTTACTGAAATGTATATTAAAAGAATCATATCTACCTTCTGAGACCACAGAGCTCCTCTGTCCTACAAGACTAACATGAGTACTGTTTCCTTCCAGCAGGCAGTTTTGCACCTCATTAATTAGTAATCAGGGCAGAAATCATGCACTTAGAGTTCCGTTGCTATTTTGTCATAGTGCATATATATCTGCAAATGTAAATTTTGATTGGGTTCTAAATCTCTCCACAAGGTTTTTGTTGTTTTGGTTTGCTTTGGTTTGGGATTTTGGTTTTTTGTTTGTTTGTTTATTGTTTGGGCTAGTTGTAGTGTATTCCGTTTTCTGGCTTCTTCATAGACTGTAAAGTTTTGAAGAAAACTCCCAAGTTGTCACAAGGGCTGCTGGCACTGGTTTGTCAGAGCTGGAGCTCACTCTCTGTCACTCACCCACTCCCTCTGAGCAGGTCCTAGTGCTTTGCTCCTGTCTCTCTCAGTCAGTACTTTCTTTGGTGCCAATTCCCCTTCCCTATACTATTTTATCATAAGCAATGGCACTTACCACAAAAACTTCCAAAAATCTGTCACTGCTTTGTTTCCTTCCTTCATTAGTTACTCATCATTTACTGTGTGCCAGGCAAGTTGTCTAAGGGATAGTATTACAACAGTAAATCTGAAAAAGAAAAAAGACTATGTGCCTGACATGGAACTTTATTCATTTTACTGATTTAATGTCTAATTATAGTCACTAACATGGAACTTTGCATCTGCTTATAAGAGTTGAATTCTTGTTCCTTCTTGAGTCTCAATAAGATATTTGCCACAGTCTTTGTAATGATAGACACTCCCTGAAGTGTTAGTTATTACCTCCAAAGGGATACCCTGGCTGTGAAGCATTCTTTGCTCAGCATACCTTCCTCTAAAGACAGCCATGTCTACCCCAAACTTCCCATATACTCTTCTACTCTCTCTCTCTGCAAACAGAGGAGAGAAAACATGTGGGACAAACCCTCTCAGTGTATGTTTTCTCAGAACTTCTAGCCACCAACAGATGCTCTCCCTAACCTTTGGCTCCATACTTATCTAAAGTATATCAGAGGTTTCTATTCAACCTATATGTTTTTTTTTTAGAAATAAAAAATAATTTTTAATAGTAATGAATTTTCAAAATGTATATACAATCTCGAGTATATTTCTAGTAATGCTTTTCTAATTTTTTTTTCCTGAGGAGAGGGGTTTTTTTTATTAATTTTTTTTTATTTTCCATTTTAAATTTAGATAAGAAACAAGGTTGCTTCACAAGTCAGTACGAGGTCCCTCTCCCTTTCCCTCCCCTCCTCCCGTGCCCTCCCCCATCCCCCCCCGTTATCCCCTCATTCCCCCAGGGAGGGTGAGGCCCTCCATGGGGGTGTCCATAGTCTGTCATTTCATATAGGGCAGGGCCTAGACCCTTCCCCAAGAGTTCAGGGTAAGAGTGCACCTCACATTGTTCTATGGGAGTCCAGAGACCTATATGTTTTTTTAATTTCTTTCCTATTTGCTCCTTTTTCATTGTAGACCTGCATAAGAGTTATTAGTAATAACCGTTCCAAAGATTCAACATTATGCTGATTTGAAATCTCTTCTACCAAAGAAATTAGGCCATGACTATTTTATTTACTTATTATGGTGACAAGGTCTCTCTATGCAGCCCTGGCTGGCCTAGAACTCACTATGTAGAGCAGGCTGGTCTTGAACTCATAGAGTTACACCTGCTTCTGCCTTTTAAGTACTGGAACTAAACACCCAACAGTTTATTTCTTTTTAATTTAGCCTCACATAAATTCTCAGGACATACACAGAAAACAGATTTTTTTTGCCAAAATATCATAGAAATAGTCTCTAGCTCTGTTGCTAATAAAGTCCTTATTCCCATATGAAGCCCTTTGAGGCAGACCTTCACTACTCTCAGCACTTCTGACTTTCACACTGCCACTAGAATATGCCATTATATTCTGCTTACAATATTTAACTACTTTTCTAGTTCAAAGTTCCAAAGTCTTCCACATTCCTCCAAAAAACAACATGGTCGGGTTTTTATCAGAAACAACACTGCTCTCTGTATTGGTTACATTTCTGTTGCTCTGAAAAAATACCATGACAAAAGGCAACTTAAGGAAGAGTTTATTTGGGCTTATAGTTTCAAAGGGTGAGTCCATAAAGTTAGGAAAGGCATGATGGTAGGAGATCAAAGCAAACTCTCAAGCACACATAGAAAACAAAGTGAACCTGGAAGTGAAGTGAGCTGTAGGAACTCTCATAGCTTACCTCCAGCAACATATTTCCTCCAGGAAAGCTCCCATGTCCTGAAATTTTCATACCTTCCCAAAAAGTGTCATGTGCCAGATACATGAACCTATAGGGGACATTTATCAAACAAACTCCAACAGGGTCCATAAAGATCTTGGCATAATACCTGGCACACCAGAAAAACTCAGTTTCATTCTAAGTGACCGGCCAGTTTGGCATGTCTAGACTGCTCACACCACAGTATAAGCGTATACAGAGACTAAAGATCCCCAAACCTGCTTGTGGGATGAGTTCTCCTTCTGCCTTCATTTTCTGAATTTCTAATTAGAAAAGTCAAGACATGAGAACAGACTTACAATTATATTTCAAAAACTCTATTATGGGAGCTCAAATGGAACTTTGCCTTGCATAGATATGAACATCTTTAGTTCCCTCTGAACCTAACTTAGGACTCAGACGAAATGCATGCTTTTCTAACTCAAATTATAAGTGCTGCAGCCCTTTCTGATTCCTCATGGCATGTTTGACAGGTAAGCATAGTTTCAGAAGCATAAAGAACACAAAGATTTCTTTGGTTCAGATGCTCTGAATAGCTTCTATAGCAGTGAAAGAAGTATAACGAGCTCTAATTGCACTTTTATTGAGTTTGCTGACATTTATGTATAGCACAAAGGACTCATCACAGCTAGACAGTTACTGTCTTCATTATCTGTGTACTCAGATTCTGAAATTTTGTATTTTCTGAGCAAGGACTGCTAATCACAGATCAGTTAGTTACGGGTAAGTGAATTCGAGCAAAATAGTCACCCTTTGAATCCCTAGCCATCTATAGTCGGATACAGAGTCTCTAGTGAGCTCAGACATGTTAGATGCTTGTACACCAGCCCTGTACTGTTGCATCTTAGCTGAATGGGCTTCCTAAACCTTTGTGGCCTCCTTTAATTCACCATTCAAATAATTATAATTTATTCTATATCTTCTATCACATTTATTCTACTCCACAACATTTTGTTTTCTGTGCTACTATGCCAAATGTGAAAATGGAAGAATAAAAAAATACTATTCTAGATAAATAATAATTGATGGATCTTTAATAAGAACACTTTAAAATACTCAAGCATCAAGAGAACTCAAGTTTTTGTTATTTTCTACTGCAGAAAATTGAGTAATGGTATGAAAAAAATTTTGAGGAGTAATGGATATGTAAGTACTCATGTTAACTTACATAAGCATAGCTCCTTTCTTTCATTCTATATATCATAGATTTTTCTGAGGCATCCAGCTTTCAGTCTTCAATCAGCTTTTAGTCCTCTTACTACGAAATAGAAGGTACCAGCTGTGCAAGAGTGAAAGGTAGTTGCTGAAACTAGTCTACCATGAGTGATGACTAAAGCATGAGCTTACCTCTTATGGGTCTCATTGGCTAGAGCCAGGATTGACTGTTGTCATGCTTCTTGTTGTCAAGGAAGAAAATGTCTAGAAAGAACACAGACAATATCTTGCTTTAACTTTCCAACTGTACATGTTGAGGGACTTTAGTTCCTAGACTCCAGAAATGCTAAGTAAGGCCTGTCTCTTTCTCAAAATCTCTAAAACTTCTGTATCCTTTTGTCAAGCTCAGAGCTAGCCAGTTTTAATAGCTGTTTTCATGGGAAGGTGAAAACCTTCAAAGCCACCATTAAAAGTAGTAATCACTAAGTATATTCATTCAGTCACTTTCTGATTTTCTAGAATATGAAAGAATAATTTTGAAATTCAAAGAGGAGCCACTCGCAGATTTGGAGGCAGTAATTAAATGCCATATGTTAGCACCAACACATTGAAAAGTTGTTAATTAATCCAAGCAGCCTCAAATCCAGGTGTGACTTTGGCAGATTGTATGCCAGGGTGTTAGCACAGACTTACAATTAGGGATGTTTTAAAATGACATTTCTAGACCTCTCACTTTAAGAAGTTACCCTTATACTCAGAACATTAACCCTTTCTCATTACACAGTGGGAGGAAGGTTTTTATTGACCTCCGGTCTGAAAGGCCTTTGGGTTCTATTGCTGCTATTGATAAAATAGAGAACCTATCTGTGCAGCACTTAATGTGTGAAAGTCCAGTCCTTGTTCAATTCACTGTATCCTGAAGCAAAATGGGTTTGCCCTAAAGAGAAGGGAGCTTACTTTAGTTTTTTTTAATTCCTCTAAAGCACCTACCTATCAGATTACTCTGAATGCAGTAGGTTGACTTCAGTAATCCACATTCTTACTGATTGACCATTAGACATAAGCCTCACACAGAGAAAATGAAATTAACATTTTACTAGCATTCGCTTTTTTCATAGCTAATAGTATTTTAAGGAAGAGATGTCTTCTTTCTTAACATCTGGTTGAGTTTATTTCTTAATAGTACCCAGGAAATCAAGATTTCCTCTTAAAGTATTCCTGTTTTCATCTTTCGTGGATGGGGGGGTCATGATTTAGCTTAGTAAGGATCTTGATGTATAGTTTACTATAGTAATACCCTGGAACTCAAAATGTACAAATTATTTTAGCTAAGCACTGTAATTTCATATTTACCAGTGAAACTGGAAACTAAATGAAAGTTTTGAAAATTGTTTTTATTTTAAAGAACTAAATCAAGATTCTTCGAGGTAAGAAATATGACAGGAATTTTTATTCTCCTACAGCTGCCAGCCATAGTTTGGTAGGTATAGGAGTCCTAAGCAGGAAGCAGTAAGAACTGGAGAGTAGTAGTCTTTCCCTTACTTCTCCAACCATTTCCATGCCTCCATCGAGGGGGTGCCACATCTTCCTCACAGAGCCTGCTGTGCAACTCTCTGTATTCAGGGGCCAGCCCACAGGTAGCCTCTAATCATACAGGTGGGGAGACTATAAAGGCTCCTTGTCAAGGGACCTGGGATTGCTGAAACTTGGTGCTCTGAATCACTAGTTTTATGCTAATTCACAGTATATAGCTGGTATTTTACTTGTTTCAGAAGTACAAAAAAGAGCAGTACTTGAAAATTTTTATCCAAATAAAAAATACTACATAGCCCACACAATGACTTTTAATTCTATTACTGTCTTTATCCATTGAGCCCATTCTCTGATCATAAGATTTTTTTTGGCTTTTCCAGATACACCACTGTTGTTCCTGACTTGGTCCCTTACATAAGTATCTTGTTTTCCCAACCCCACTACAGGTCTCTTTGGATTCTTTAAGCTTCATCTTGGGGAGGGGGTACATTAAAAGAGCCCTAGACTTTCTCTGAGTTGTCTTGGAAAGCATCCTAAGTGTAGAAGGAAATGGGAGGAGAGGGACTCTGCACACTGCTCTAGCACCCTCCTTCCCGGGGCTTCCGTTAATCAAAGCATGTGGCTGGGTTGCCTTCTCTGCACTGCTAAGGGAAAGAAAAGGAAGAGAAGTTGACAAAAATGAGATGGCTGTCAGGGTCATGTTTCAAATTAATGACAACAGGAGAACAGAGACCAGAGTCGGTAAGTCATGTTCCTTGTTCTTCCCTTTAGATCTCATCTACTTCCTCTAGTAAAGGAATAAGAGTACTGGACTTGGAGTAGGGAAGCGAGTTTGTAGTCCATGTTAGACCACATATTTCTTGAATGACCCTATCCCTTTTATGGACTCAGAAATCTGTTTTACAAAGGGATAGAGTACGTCTTTTACTTATTATGTGGAATTCTCTGACTAAGAACTTTGATTTAGCTGCTTCATTTCTGTCTTTCAGAACTGCACTGACAAATATAATACATACATAGGACTTTGAAATTTTAAATTAAAATGAGATGGCATTAAAAAGTCTGTTTTTCAATCATACTAGACCCTTTTAAGTGTTTAGTGAACTCACAAGGCTTTGGCTATGTATGAAGCAGCACAGACATAGAACTTTGGAGTCATTATTAAAAAAACTCTGTAACAGTGTTGCTTCAGAGTAAGTCATTGAATAGCAACAGTGCTTCAGGAACAGATGACCCAGCCATGAAGGCTCAGATCACATATCTTCACTTGAGTTCCACTGGCACCAGGACTCAAGAGCCAGAATAAATACTTACTGTATACATGGAAATGAGACTCTGCCCTATAAAGGACAAAAAAAAAAAAAACAGAAAAAGAAGAAGTAACTACCACCTAAACAGCAATGGCAAGAAAATAATACAGATTCAATAACAAAAGTCACATAGTGACTAAGCCAGATCTTGGAGGTGTATGGCTATCTCTCTCCTCCCCTACCCACATTTTTAATTCTCAGAAATAGATTAAATCAAAGCAGCAGAAGATAAGCAGGTCTTATCTCTAGGAGCACTTCCGACATCTTTAAAAAGGGTCTCTCTCCTAGAAAGGCTGCAAACACTATCCTGAAATCAGCTGTAATTTTGCCTTATAGGTGAAATAATGTGAGCAAATATTATAAGCTAAATTCAGGTCAAATATTGCGAGCAAAAAAAATGGGAGATTTGGAGGGATCTTCCCAGATCTGAAGAAAAACCTGTCTAATCTGTCCCTCTCTGAGTCTAAAGTATGCACAGTGTTTTGATACCCAAAATATATCTCCATTCCTTGCGAAACCTAGCTTCAAGTTACTAGACTAGTACAGTTTACAGTTTCCTCCTTGCTCTTCTGTTTCTGGTTTTGCCAAGGTAGGGGCTTTCAGAGATGACTCCCAAGGATCAGCAACAACTTTCTCCTCTAGAATAGACTCCCATGCCAAGTGCAACCAGCCTGGCTGATTAGAAGCTGATTGTTCTTGGAGTCAGAGAAGACAGACTGGATGGGGTGACAGGGTAGATACAGGTCCACAGTTAGCTCTAGGATTGCACTCATTCTCACATGGACAAGTCTGGCTGGTAATAAAGCATTGATTATAAGAAAAAAAAGATGATATGGCCTTTGTTCGTTTGTTATTTTTATCTCCTAGCTGTGGAAGACCGAAAATTATTCATAGGAATGGTTTCGAAGAAATGTAATGAGAATGATATCAGAGTGATGTTTTCTCCATTTGGCCAGATAGAAGAATGCCGGATTCTCCGGGGACCCGACGGGCTGAGTCGAGGTGAGTGTGCAGTGTGTAAAGTCTCTTTCCTTAAGTGCTAATTGGAACTCTGGTTCACAGTCAAGGAAAATGTAGTCATCACGTGCAGTAGAAGGTCAGCTTGTAATACATCCCATGTGATCAAGTTATCCAACCTTAACTTTTCTCTGTAACCAAAATGATCATCTCATACTTCTCTAGGTGAAAAGGTCTGCATGCCAGGTCCCATGGAATGCTGGCAGGTTACCCTAACTCTGTGCCCCCCTTTCATCCTCAAACTGAGAAAATTTGGGGGACAACGAGGAAAGGTAGAAGATGAGAATAGATACTCAGCTGTACTTTTCTTTCTGTTCGCGTGAACAAATGTTAAAATGTGGTCCTCATGATACCCAGACAAGCCTAGAGAGAGTGTCACTGGTCATACAATGCAGAGCAAGTATATAATCGCAGAGCAACCAGACCTGCCCTGCCCTGCCCTGCATCTTACAAACCTCTAATCCACTGTCTAGTCTTCTCAATGACAGAAAAATGACTTTGACCATAAGAAAATTGTAGGCTCTTCTTTTGCCACAACAATAGAAGCAAAAGCTGTGGTTTACAACCCTGAGGAATACTACAGTTTTGTAAAGTCACTGTATGAAACAGTGCAGATCACCCTTTCCAAACTCACCTCCCCATTAACAAGACCACACACCTCCTTCCTTAAACTACAGGAAGGTTGACAGAATATATTAACAATTGTCTGACTGCAGTTTCCCAAGTCAATCCAAAGTAGAAGTGTATATGTCAAACAGTTTTCAGTTTGAAGACTAAATCTCCGTTTTGCAGTGCAGTTTCCATGGGAACAATTAAGAGCTACTTATTCTCAAGCTCTGGTTCTGGGCTAGATTTGGAACCCAAACCACACATTAAAATAAGTAGCCAGTCCCTAAGTATCAAGATGATAATGTTCACCTGTCTCACCATTCTTACCTAATTTTAAAGCCATGGGAGGAAATTGGGGTTTTTTGTTTTGTTTTGTTTTTGTTTTCGTTTGTTTAATCTTAGACAGAAAGCTTCATGTTGTTTGCTCCTAGACTAAAATCCCAGAAAACAAAAGTTTCACCCACATCCACCTTCAGAGTTCCCAAATGGAGGTCGTCAAGAAACTAGGACACACCAACTTTTGATTGCTATATTTTCCTCTGAAGGTGCTTTAAAGGGATGGTGGAGGGAAAGCACTGTGCAAATCACAGTTCATTCACTAACTGTCAATTATGAAATACTGGTAATTTAACCCTCACTTCAAAGCTGAATTCCTAAATGCTGAAGAGGATACTATGACCCTCAAATAACAGACAGTACCTGAGACAAGCAATGCAGACAGCATGAAGAAAACAATTGGGGGGGTGTCTTTAAACTAATCAGAGTGAAGTTTACAATAACTCAGGGGTCAATGACTCTAACTTCCAGGCCCAAAATTTTTGATAATGGCATGTGACCTTAGTCAATTTATTTTGCTAGTTCTGTTTCTTAGTTTCCCCATTCATAGATGACAGCAGTGAACGTGTATCGGTCTTGCTTCTCTCACGGGACAACATTAGTAACCAGTTCCTGGCTTTTCCCATGCTTACTGTCTGTGTGGTGCATAGAGACTGTGAGTGTGAAGCTGAGTGCTGGCTTTGTGTCTTCCTCTGCTTACCTTAGCCAGCTGTGACGTGACCCTCCCTCCATCTCACTGCCTCTGCTGCACAGGAGAGATGGTGAGGGACACACCGGGTATCTGTAGGTCTATACTAGTATTTTCTGCCTATAATATATCAAAGCAGCATGACTTTCATAGGAAAGAGTAGAACACTCACTGCTTACTAGGAAAACTTAGCTAATTTGATCTGCTGCTTGGTTGATTAACCAATACTTAACCCCAGAAGTAGCCTTTTCCTATACTAACTGATGGGAGTCTTCTCATTTGTATTTTATGCAAATGGATGGGCTCAGTTTAAAGAATAGAATACGCTCCCCACAACTGCTTTAAACAGAAAAGTAATTCTTGGAGAACTGGTGAGAATTCCCTATTGGAAAAAAGAAAATACTCATTTATAACCATTTGTTCTGAAATACAAAGACAGACAGCGGTATGTTTTTCAGTTAGGATCTAGGGACTCCTGGCTTTCCCTGTATTTGATATAAGAACAATTCTATTTCATGCTACTATTTTTTTCTCATTAAAAATTTCAGTTTTCAATCAAATAATAATAAACGCCCCCTATTAGTGGCACCTCAGATAAAAGACACGACATTTTTCCCTCTGTATCTGTTACTAGCTCAACTGTTAAAGAATATCTGTATATAAAAATCAGAGTATAAACTACTCAGTAAAAAAGTTTCTACATTAGACTGTTTAGTTTTGATAAAGGCAAGGTACAGTCCAAGTATTGGCCACTTACTTTTCTTCTGGGTTTACCAGTTAAGCTATAAACATGAAGACAATTAGTCAAGTAGCCTCCCCACCATTCTTCCTCTGCCACATCAGCCATTTCAGTTCCTCCCTAATAGGTAGGCCTCTGCCTAGCTCCTCAGACATGTTGACCCAGGACACCACTCAGCAACATAGAGGCCTGAAAGCTTCTAGAGCTCATAGCTGTGCCTGTCAAGCCCTATTTATACTTTCAGTTAGAGACATTATCTTTGCAGAGAGGTGACTCACTATAACTAGTATATGTCCCAGGACAGACATCCTTAGGAAATGGTTGTAAGTATCTACCTAGAAAGTACCCAGCACCTGCCAATCATATATAACTACTCAGCAAATGTTTTGTCTCATATATGCAAAGGAGAATATGCCCAAATCTAAGGAGGCCTATCCTCCACTGGAAACTTCCTGTTGACACTTATTTTGGAAAGTATGTTGCTCATCACTTACAAACAACTTCATACCAATAGTTACATCATTCTGCAAGGACATCTGCACCTCTCAGGTACCTGGACAGCTCTCCATGCGAAAACTAGTAGGCCATCACAGCCCATGCATGGCATTTCCAGTGAGACATTTACTCTCTAAAGCAAAGCTTGAGGCTTCTAAACCAAATGTACATATTTGACAGTGTCACTTTAGGATATTGAGATCCTAAAATAAACATGTTCTCACTGATCCACACAGTCAGAAAAAAGTTACTGAGATCTAACCTATGGAATTTTCTGCACAGTGGCAGTTAAGTATATGTAACTTGGAGTCAGTAAAAAGTTGATTTCATTTTTCTTTTCCACAAACTGTAGTCAAATCTTCATTACCATTTAAGGTAACTTTCTTTGTGCTTGCTTAAGAGTATTCCAGCTGTGTTCCAACATTCCCCTGCCTAAACCCTTGACAAATGAATGTTTTCAGGGAAGAGCACAAACTGGATTTAGCAGTTAAATCTTTGTTTGTCCCTTGTTGTATTCAAGCAGTATATTCAGATAGGGGTTTGACTGTTCAGACAGGTATGTGGGGAAGACTGTTTTATTCACAGTGTAGTCCTGTTCACACAGAACCTAAACATTCATCTATATGGAAAATTCCATCATATGTACCTTGGAATACTGACTGCATTTTGTCATCTTGTTCAAAATAGTCTTCCAGCCCCATCGTAGCAATGAGATTTTGCCAGCTGCTAAGTGGGTCTTAGTCTGTACCCAAATTCAGATGCCATAAGTGAATGATTGATGTGTCAGTGCCAGTTTTCAGTAAACTAACCGCAACATTTCCTATGATAACTAGATTACTAATGCATGTTCCCAATTATTATGCTGTACTATGTGTTTGATCATTCCTGCCAGCACCCAAAAGATACAGCAAGGAAAATTTGCTGCATTAATGTCTTTGTTAGGTGAAGATTCATTTATAAGTAAGTTTTTCATACTTTGAAGTCTCCTTCATGCTACACAGTAACTTAGAATCATGTTTCTTCTATTTGAGATAGAGCAGGCCACTGTGCCTCTTTGAAAGGTCCCAAAAAACTAAGAGACCTGGCATCATTCATGCTTTTAAAAGTACTTCTAGCTTTTGGGGTTTGGGGCTTTTGCTTTTTAGTGTGAAGCAAGAATTCATCTAATTCTGTAAAATTCTCTTGGTAACTGAGATAAGAGGTAGAACCTCTAAGTTAAGAAATCCCTTTCACTGGGTGGTGGTGGTATACTCCCTTAATCTCAGCACTCAGGAGGCAGAAACAGGCAGATCTCTGTGTTCAGGGCCAGCCTAGTCTATAGAGCAGGTACCAAAACAGCCAGTGCTACATGAGAAACATCTCAAAAAAAGAAAAGAAATGGGGATGTGGGGAGAGATGCCTTTTCAATTGAAATGACAAGTTTGATAGATGTGTTCCAAGAACCCCACCCTCTATGATAGGGTTTTGTGCTTTCTTTAGATCCTGTCTGTAGGGGAAAATCACTTTGTGAAACCTTTTTCCAATCAATCATTTATCTGTTTTAGCAGCAAGAAGGCAGACTCACTGAAATAGGAATTCCACTCCTCATTCCTATTAGTAATCTCTGACATTCTGAAAATAAAGTAATTGTTAGCCTAAACTACAGGTTAGCCACAAAAGAAATTTTTCTCATATTTATTTGGCAATTTTAAGACAGTCATATGTATATATGCTATCATATCCAAACCAAAAATAAAAGAAATAATAGTGTCATTGTTTTAATACTTATATCCTTCTTCCTCCAATCTAATTTCTCCAGCACTGAGGTCAATTACCAGATTACTAGTTGCCTAGATAGTACATTTAACCATCCTAAATAGTTAAAGGTTAACACCACAAAATCAGAGGTGCTACCCTGTCAAGACTCAGTCAGTGCCACTGCATGCAGAAGAAAGAACCAGTTAGGACATAAGATACTTCTGCCTAATAGAAGCCGCCTTGTTCTGTTACAGAAAAGGCAGTGGCCGATTTTAATAGTAGAACTCTCAGGACTCTGTGTTGGTGAAAAGCCACACATCAAAAACCAAGAACTGAAGCCACTTCTGTGCTAGTACTTGTGTTGAAAATAAAATTAAAATCTATCCATACAACTGCCACAACCTCTCCTGATTTAGAGAAATTACAAAGGTTAACAATCTTTACTATCCCCAAAAGTTGTTGACTCCTATGTGACTTAACTTCATCCAGAGTTGCACTAACAGTAAAATTTCTCACCATGTATACCCACTTTAAAAATGACACAGTTGATTTTATTCCTAAGTAATTGAGCACAGCACACAGTACAGAACTTGACAAAAGCCACTAAGGAGACAGTGTCTCTCTTCCTGAATTATTGCCAAGAAGCTGAAAAGGTTAAAGAAGTCATCACATTTGTTAGATCATTTTTTAAATAGGTTAAAATTAGAGGCATTGCTTGGGCTTTTAATTACAGGCTTCTTAAATGAGAGGGCAGTGGTTTGAGTTGATGGTGATTTTATTGTACCTGCTAATTGCTTTATCTTTCTCTCAAAGTTACTTACAAGTTACTTGTGTGAAATTGTGATAAATACATGAACTGCCTTATTGATTCTTATTGACATTTTACATGTTTCTAATGCATTTTAACCTCCATTTGGAAACTGTCAGTGGCACACATTCCTAGATAATAAGAGAAAATGAAGTGAATAGAACAATTTTTGTGACTATTAAAGCAAAATTTATGTGTTTTCAAACATACCTCTGCTATACGATTTGCTTTGGCTTCCATATTATAGTCTCAAGGCAAGAAGTTGAAAAATTAAAATCTCTTAGTCTCATTTTGTCTGTAATTTAAATGATAATCATACAAATTTAAGGAGATATTAGTTTGAAATAGTTGGTAAATTTGAGAGTATGATTTTAGACCTCAGCATCAATATGGAAGCCAATGGAGAACTGTCATCTGTCTCACATGCTATATTATACACATGGTCTAGATGCCTTAGAGAAGGTCATTACTTTCATTGATGACAGAAGCTACAGTCATGTCTGGGTACATGAAACATATTTAAATAGTTGGCTTTGTCAGCTGCTGCTCTGTCATAGAACCATATGCAACAGCTCAGTACTCATAATAGCTGGGCTTCTTTCCTGCTTCTTAAGACTACTCAGTTGTTGGGGGTGGAATATGGGATGACTTTCCAGTGTACTGGTAATATTAAAGATTATAACATGCTGCATAAATATGTATCTGCTTACTTTCATGACTGGATGTCATTGTGCATGGAGATCATGGACAGGCCCTGCTTTCTCTTAATGCTGTTTGATTAAAAGGCACCACAGCACTATTGACTTGATATTCTTACCAGGTATACAATGCAGGACAAAAGAAGAAAATGTATTTTATGACTTACAAATTGATTTACATAAACCAAACAATCTGCTGACTATTTGAATGTAGAATGTTCCATTTTGTTTATTGGCCACAGGGGCAACAATCTTATACTGTTGATACCAGAATTCTGCTTTCATGCATCTGCTCTAAAATGACAATAGGCTTCAGCCTCTCAGTGTTTAGATCTGCTTCATTTGGGAATCTTTTAAGTAGTAATAATAATGTTCTGAGGAAATTGGGTGGAACACTAAATTATTCGCTGATACCTAAGTTCAAACTGTGCAAGGCAGAAGAAGCTGAAAATCAATGCACTTTTAAAGTCATTAGAGATCATAAATGAAATAAGTCTGTATTGCTTTAGCTAAGCTTTTAGTGTGCTGTGGTATTATTATAAAATCAGCCTAAATCTGCATTAATTTCACAGCCTTTTTCTCTAAGAAGCCCAAGGGATACATGATGAATAAAATGTAAATTCCACAAGTCAGTATTTTTATTAGTACAAAGGGTGATGAGCCATGTAGTTCAAGTGGTGACCTGTGTGGTGGCCAGTACTGCTATCAAAAGCAGGAAACAACACTATAGATGTAGTTATTTTATGGCACTAGAGAAAATAAAAACAGAAAGCTTTACAGGTCTCATAGTAGATGTTCAGAGAAATGTGCATTGTCTTGTGTGTGTTAAACTTTAGGTCAAATCTCTGATTCCTTTCAGAAAGTTACAACTTCCAAATCATCAAAATTTTTTGTACAATTGCAGTTTTTATAATTTATTTCAATTGCAATGTTGAATTTTCTCAGAGTAATAGTTTGTTTTGTCGCTAATTAGTAATTATCGCTTTGTAATGGATTTAATATATTTGTTTATATTTGAATAGCATCAATTTCTATTTATATATGTTTTTAACTGTCCAAGATAAATTAGACGGATTTATTAACATTTTGAGATCTTGAAATTTATTTGCTTACTTACCCATGGTGTGATGAATTCCTTATTTACTTCTTAAAATTCAGTGGTAGCTTTTGAAATACAGCACCGTGGTGTGTGCATGCTATCAGCCAAGGAGAAGATAGAAAGTAGCCCACTTTTGACTTAGAAATGCAAGTTACCTTTGCTACTTTCAATCTTGTGGCTTAAAAAAAAAAAAGTACACAACATGCTTCCTAGGTCCCTTTAAAAAGAAAAAGGAAAAAAAAAAGCTGATGAATAAATTGTTTTGCTTTGGTCGGATTAGCAATTCAGCACTGTGAATAAAAAGCAAAATAAGATGAAACCAAAGAGAGAAGCTGTTTATTTTTATGTACTACTGAGAACAGTGTCGTCTTGTGGCAGTTCTCGTAGACTGTGTTGGTTTAACAAGCGTCCAACCCTTTTGTCTTGTTGTTTTTTGTCTTTCCTGCTCCCTGTCCCCTTGTTTCCCACAGGCTGTGCGTTTGTCACATTTTCTACAAGGGCAATGGCACAGAATGCAATCAAAGCCATGCATCAGTCTCAGACCATGGAGGTACTGTATCATCTGCCCTTTCTTTGTTTTCTTTGTGCAAATGATGGGGAATGGTAAAGCAATTCTCTCCTGTGTGGATTGTTCACATGACAATCACAGATTTAAACTTTGACCATTTCACTTTTCATTCACTCATACTCATCCCCCCCTCTCTCTCTTTGTTTCTCTCCTCACTCCCTTTCCCTCTTCTCTCCTTCCACTTGCATTTCCCCCCAATGACTTGAAAAGCACTTTAGTGAAACCTTCCATTTGCCCTACGGCTGTCTCTTGAGCCTTTTATTGGAGTAACACCGGTCCTGAGATGTGAGACACTTGAAGCAAAATGTCATTCTGGACCTAGAGGATTGAATACATATACCACAGCAGGATTGGTATGGACTAAGCTGAACAACCCCCACATCAGATTGCTGCTATAATAAATCACTTGACTAAAGAATTATTTTTCATCTCAGGAATATTGAAGAAAGTTAATAATTCCATTATTTAACAATGAAATGCTAATTTTCAGTCTCCTGAAAAATCAGATTGGTCCCTTTACTTAAAAGTGAACAACAATGAAATACATGGGCTCAAATCCAATCTCTTAAAAGGTTGTGATTTGAACAGGAGAATCAGCAATGTGAAATATGCCACAGGTGGAGACGCACGGCTCTGTGTACTCAGTCTGTGATTTGGGTTGTAGCCTTTCAGAATTTTGCACAAGAGCATTCCAAAAGTGACTTGCCATCACTTACTCTGTATTGTCTGATAGGGTCATTTGAGAGTGCATGTGCTGCTGTGTTACGTACACTGTATCTGTGTATGGGTGATTTTCTCCAGAGGTGGTGGCCTTGTGGTGTTACCTGAAGCTGTGTTTTTCTATTTGAACAAAAATACTTTCAATTTTATTTAATATGCAAAAAATAATAATTGTTTGAGCTTCTTTTTTTAAAAACCCCCTGTGATTGGGGTTTTACTTTTGGGATTTTTTGTTTGTTTGTTTGTTTGTTTTTGTTTTTGCAATGCTGCATCTTCCAAAGCATGCTGGGAGCTAAGTGATCATTATGCGTCATGTTTTATGGGAAACTTCCATATATTAGTTCAGAAGGTGGGTGGAAAGGGTGGGAGAGATGTGCATGGCATTGTCATTAAGTGTTTACTGTACTCTTTTGAGTTGTGACATCAGCATTGCAAAGCATATTGTCTATTTTCACTTTGAAATTCCTATCATATATAATTAATGTGTTTTCCTTGCAGTGCAATGCATTTTTAAGACAATTCCACCACCCCACCTGAAGGCAAGCTCGGGTGAAAATCAAACATGATAGGAAATAATAAGCAGGATTCCAATCTTGCATACCATGCAGTCACATTCCTGATATTTTGACTTCCCCTTTCTTGTAGGCTGCTGCGGACTGGTAGATTTTCTGCTATTTTTAAGCTTAGACATTAAAACGAAAGTGCTGCTAAGAAAACAGTCCTCATATGTACTTATTTGCATACATACATTTAACTATTTTTGTTTCTTATAATTGAGAGATTTATATCAAAATTTATCTGCCCTTAGACAAGGTTTTCAAGTTCTTTTGACACTTAAAAGTGCTGCCAAGCCCAAGTGAGTTCATAGAGAATGCTGATATGGCTCTGATTCTACTGCAAAAAGCTCAAGACACAAGGCAGAACTGGGCATGAACCAAAACAAGAGGTTTTGTGTGGAACAAAACACTATAGAAGGCTGGCATAGGTTATTTTTAAGATTTCTATTGTGATTCCTTCAGAGTCGGCATACTCTTTTTAAAACTGGATGCCCATGTTTAAAGAAAGAACCCTCAGTTTGGTTTACAAAAAAATTGACTTCTAAATAGAACCATACATGCCATGCAGTTCTACTGTAATCATACAGTTGCTTGAGTTTTAACTAATTACATTTTTTTCAGGAATTTGGTACACATCTTTAAGTAAGACATTATTATTTGACTTAAAATTATATGTTTGTTCAAAGATTTGTTTTTAAATATGCATAGAGCATCTATTTCCCAATTTTCCTCTACGCTAAGCCCACTTGTTTTTCTTTCATGACTTAAATTGGTCATATTTAAAGCTACAGTTATTTACCTAATTTTATGCTTTTTTGCCTTTTCAAATTTAAGGACAAGAAATCAGTAAGTGTACTATTAGGAGAAGATGCTGCCATTTGTTATGGAACACATTTGATGCAGCAGTAGAACTTCTCCATGCAAAACTTCTCTGTTTTCATCTTCAGAATATTAAGAAGTAGTAAAGTACTGGAATATGGAGCAGATAAAGAAAAAGGGCATATTGGATTTTTTTAATGGTGGAAATGTTACAATAAATGTAATGTATTGACCTTTGATGTTCTATACCATGGCTCTGCTTAGCAAAGCTACAGGTCGATAGACTACAAGTTCTACAATGAAACAGTCATCTCACTTTTCTCACTTTTAAATAACAGATATGACAGCCTTAATTCACAGTAAAATTCCCAGTAACTACCCACAGTGATAAGGAAAAGCATGCAAGTTTTAAGAGAAAGAAAAATAACCCAATGGGACTAGAAGGGGAAAGTTCAGTTAAATAGGAATATATCTTTTCTGAGAATTGTTATCACATAATTAGATTCTATTTAATCAATTGGGTAGAAATACCTTTTTTCCAAAAAAAAAACACAGCAAAATGGAAGAGAATGGTGATTGAATGCGCTTCATGCCCCATGTCAAAGTGAAGGTTCAGGAGGGACCTTCACTATTTTTATGCTGAGTTTTTACCAAGTAGCAGATGTCTCAAAGGTGTTTGGGATAGGATGATCCTGCTCAAAGTGGTAGGCTAATACTTTCCCAAAGATTATATCTAACTCAAAAATTAATTTATTTTATTATATGACCTTTGACATGTCTTTCTCACTATTCTTACTCCTTACCTTTTAAAGGAAATTAAAACTGAATGAGGTTTGTAGAATAGTGAAATTAATAGAGAAAAGCAATGATGTAGACTTCTCCTTCCATTTAAGATATATCACTTTGACTAGAAAGAATGTGCTTCTGGATCTTTTGGGTTGCTCTGGGGACTCTGAATAGAATAGAAGTGACATGGAAGGAGGAAAAGAGATCTTTTGGAAAACATGTGAATAATTTCTTTGATCGGTGCCTATATATATTTTTCATATCTCTGCCCTTCATCCATGTTCCTAAAATGAAACACACTTCTTTCTTTTATTGTATCAAAATTATTTTCACTGTTCCAGTGTTCAGAAATAAATAACTGAAAATAAATGAATGGTAAAAGATGAGTGAGATATTTTCATTCCAATTGCGATTTCTGTCCCTTTATCGTCTACCCATATATAGAAATGGCAGACAGACAAGCTATCTTTAAGTCAAGAAAACGATTAAGTATAATTAAAGATAAGGTCTTAGTCTTGAAGGAAGTCCGGGAAAGTTAAAGGAAGACACATGAAGAGAGGAGAGGCAGTGTAATAACCAAAACAAAAAACAAGTGGCTTCACCAACCAACAGATCCCCTTAAAGAAACCAGTGACAGTATATGGAGTTCTCTGTTGATGGTACCTTTCAGAGAAGGAATATCAAACCATTTTAAACCATTCTAGACCATTCTGTATGCCCCAAGATAGTTAAGAAAGATAAATCCAATGATGACTGGATATTTTATAAAGGGATTCAATCAGGCTGTAACATCCTCTGCACTTTCCAATGTGTCTGACCACAGGGTTGCTCTTCACCTATCGTGGTGAAGTTTGCTGACACTCAGAAGGACAAAGAACAAAGACGCCTCCAGCAGCAGCTTGCGCAGCAGATGCAACAGCTCAACACTGCCACTTGGGGGAACCTGACAGGGCTGGGTGGACTTACCCCACAGTACCTGGCGGTAAGTGCTAGAGAATGTGGGACTCTGTGGTCTCCAAAGAAGAAAGGAATATAACTCCAAAACTGTCAAAAGCTACTTTTCCATAAGTATGCCAAAAATTTACTTTCCATACATTCTGAGTCCAGGAATTATCAAATCAGCATTAGGGCAGGTTTTTGTTAATTAAATAATTAGCATAAGAATATGCCACATTTTACTGTGACTGAGTAAAACCCAATACACTAGACTTCTAAACAGTGTTTTAAGGCATCGTAAAAAGCCTGTGCTGGATAAGTGATGCTGCATGCTTGATTACTGGTCATCTGAACTTTAGATTCTAAAGATTCCAGGAGATAGGGCCAAGAACTAACATGCTGCAGGTTTGTTTGTACTAGTAGTAGCAACCTGTAGGGAGACTTCATTATCAATCCTTACCCTGTGACTTTCCAGTGAAGCTGTTTTGATGTCTCTAATGTTTCCTTTTAGGCCAGACCCAGATCTTTGATCCATCTCATATTTTTCATAATTTCTGAGTGTTTCCTTAGTATTAGTCATTGTCTTTATTGAGATACAGTAGCCAGAATTTAAGATGGTTCCACTCTTAAGATCTAAGCTAGACAGAAGAGAGATCCCAAGCATGGACTTCAGAACCTCTTACTGCAGCTACAAGTGTCAGGCAGCCTTTGTAGAAACTGTCCATGTGGGCTGGGAAGCTGTATAAGTGCTGTTTCTTCGCTTTATTTGCCTGTTTGGAAACCTCAGCTCCATACTACATGTGTATTAATTAAGTTTAATTTTGTGATTTTGAGATTTTTTTTTTATTCTAACCTGAGAGTTTTAGCAAGGACATACTTATGTCCTAACTCTGCCATTTCACATTTTAACTGTCTCTTAGGCACATATCCTCCATGGACTTTGTAGCAGAAGCTGTACTGCTTTGTAAGACATCTTCCCTAATGATTTGGAAGGGAAGATAAGGAAAGTGGGCTCAAGGGACCAAGTGCCTTTGCCTACATCATAGCTGCCTATGGACCTTCAGTTGCCTAAGTTCTCAGCCTTTGTCACCATCACTCTACCCCGCCCCCAGCAGTCTGCCCTCTAAAGCAGCTGGGGTATGGTAGGGGAGGAGTTATGTATGCTTTTCCTGTCTTTGTCTAGGCCAATAAAAGATATGTTTACTGTCATTTTCTAGCTATTTCTCCATTTTATTCTTGATGATATCATGTATAGTTTTGCCAGGTGTCTTTCTTTTTTTCTTTTTTTTCTTTTTTTTTTCTTTAAATTAGAAACAAGCTTGTTTTACATGTCAATCCCAATTCCCTCTTCCTCCCCTTCTCCCCTGCTCTCCCCCTACCAATGATCCCCTAGCCCATGGCCTTTCTGCTCCCCAGGGAGGGTGAGGCCTTCTGTGGGGGATCTTCAAAGTATGTTATATCATTTGAAGCAGGGCCTATACCATCACCCGTGTTTCTAGGCTGAGAGAGTATCTCTCAGTGTGGAGTGGACTAATGGAGATTATTTTATCTGCCCCTCCCCACTCAAAAGGATTATTAGGCAACTCAAAAAGTTGGCCAGAGATTTCCTGTCCAAACCACTCTCTCCAAAGAAAATTCACTGAGGGGGAAATTAACAATCTCATAAATTTTATTATGACATTTTCCCCTTTCTATTCTCATGACTATATCTAAGATTTACGCATTAATTCTTACTCTCTGTTCACCTTGTCTAATCAGTAAGACATCGTAAGTATGATGGATTATCAATGCAATGATGACCTGATGCCATAGAGCTTCTTGTGGGCTAGATTATGACACATGATTAGAGATAGGAAATATGGCTTCATTTCTGCTCATGCCAGAAGGCCTTTAGAGCAAGAAAGGTATAGGGAGGGGACAAGATACCAAATTGTAGGTGCTAAAGGATTTGTTGACTTATAGTAATGATGCCAGGTGTCTTTCTTAAATCTACATATATGATGCCATGTTTTTTTCCTAGTCTGTGGTCTGGTAATTTTATTTTCAAAAGAGAATCAAAAAATAGAATATAGAATATAACCTGTACCCTAGAACTGCCCTGTTTTCCCTCCCCCAATATTTCACTTTCTTTCTCTTTTCCAAACGTAATCAGTATTCTAATTCTTTTTTAAGCTTTTTTTTTAATTTTTGAGATTACAATTAAAACATTTCTCCCCTCCCTTTCTCCCCTGTAAACCCCAATATATCCCCCTTTCAAATGTATAGCCTTTTTACTATTATGGTATGTAAATGTGTGTGCCCCTTTCAAATTTATAGCCTTTTTACTATTATGGTATGTAAATGTGTGTATAGGCACGTACATATATATTCCTAAATATAACCTGTTTTTTCCATATAATGCCACCTGTATTATGTTTTAAGTGATGTTTGGCACTGGACAACCAATTGGTATGCTCTTCCCTGGGGAAAACCTTTTCTCCTTCTCCTTTCCCAGCTTTCCTCAGCTGCCTCTAGTTTTTATGTAGGGTTGAGGCCCCATGGGTTTTGCATCATCCAGTTTGGCATGTCTATTGCTGTCATCCTTGTTCAGTTCACACTCGGGCAATCACGTTCATAAGATCTTATAGTAGCTAGACAACCCTACAACTATACCTTTGTATTTGTGAAGTATCCTGTCACTGTCACTCATTTAAAAGTGTTTTAAAATGTAAACAATTAAATTTGCATTATTTTTTCACAAATATTTTGTTAAGGTTGTCACAGACCATCAGCTTAATTGTATTCATTCAATGTTGACATCGAGCTTGCCTTTTTATGCTTTCTGAATCAAGCTTGTTATACCATTTTGGAAAACCAAGACATAGGTATTTGTCTCAGTATTATGATACATTTCCCTTGTGTCACAGCTTCAGAAATTGCTAGTATGTGTTCCTGTGACCACATCTGAAAATTATTTCCATAACTGAAAGATAATAAAATAGTCTCACTTATAGAATGACCTTTTATAAGCTGTGAGTAAGTTTTCTCATGCCCTAATATCATTCTGCTCTTATCCATGCTTCTGTACTCTTTTTTTTTTAAAGATTTATTTATTATGTATACAGTGTTCTGCCTGCATGTATGCTTGCATGCCATAAGAGGGCACCAGATCTCATTGTAGATGGTTGTGAGCCATCATGTGGTTGCTGGAAATTCAACTCAGGATCTCTGAGCCATCTTGCTCTTGTCACTTGAAAGTCTTCTTGTTTGAAGGGGATTTGGACACTTAAGTACTCCCTACCTCTGTGTTAAACCAGAGTCCAGGCATATAATTATTGGTGATTGTTTCTTGACTTTCCAAGTAGTCTACTTACTTTAGCAGGTATTACTAACTCCTTAAAATACCTTCAAAGCTAATTTTGCAACTTTAAGAAGAAAATATATACTATGGAGAGCTGTGACTTTTAAGCACAAAAGGATGAGATACTCAACAAATCAAACCAAAATAAGATTTTACGTATTAAAATGGGTAATCCCTAGGTTTTCCCTTCTCTCTTCCTATTTCTCTCTTCCTGTATGTGAGTTTGAGAACAGGCTTGTGTGTGCCTAACTGTATGCTTTCCCACATAGAAGCTGTATCTTTATTGATCTATCTTACCAAAAGAAGAATGCCTCTACATCTACTCAATGTTCTACAATAGGACCTAATTAGACTACAGTCCAGCTGAGGTGAACAAGATCACTTCAGAACTGGAATCATGTGCCTTTACCTTGTGACTTTCACATTTTATTATTATCTTTTATTTAAAGATTTTGACATACCTAAAATACACAGATTCAGTGCATACCAGATAATTCCAGATTTTGACAAGTACTTTGTCTTTTTTGTGCTGGTAAAGACCATCTTAAGAATGGCTGACCACTTGCTTGGCAGTGTGGCTGTGACTATGACTGTGATTAGCTATTCTTAGGCCTACTGTCATCGTTATGATTCTTATGTTGGTCTGAGTCAGTAAATACATGTGCTTCTGATGAACGTTAAAGAAAACTGAATCTGGACATGGATAGGGAAGGAGCAGACAAGGCCCTACCTCTAACTGAGGAGCTATCAGCAGATGATGGCTGTTGGTAAAGGGGAGCCTTTTTTTTTCTGTCAATATATGTTGCCCGTGCTCCATGGATGGTCCCACACTCATTCACCATGCACATATTGGTGACTAGGTAGACTCAGTGGAATATGAAGAAAAGAAGAGAAGTGTGGAGGGGGATACATAAGGGGGGTTGGTGGGAGTTGAAGAAGGAAAATGATGATTAAAGTATATTGTATACATGAATGAAGTTCTCAAAGAATAAATATTTTAAAATGTTAATAAAGAAGAAAGGAAAAACTGAGCTGGGAAGGAAAGTGGAAAAGAGGAGGAAATGGATCTTGATTGACAGAGATGAGTTATGGGAACTACTAGACTACAGAGAGTTATAATTAGTCATGCTTTGTTGGTGTCAAAAGATTTAGCACCTGGTTGTTAAAAAGACTAAATTGATTAATTGTTTTAAGGCAGCAGTGTTAATAAGTCTCCCTAGCGTCTGTGTTTCTTAATAGAGATTAGACATTAATATGAGTTTACACCTCCAACTCTGGGGTCCTTCAGTCCATCAACAAGGAGTGGCAGCCGATATATAAATGTAAAGGAAAAAAATTGTGCCCAGTATAATGAGGAAGTTGCTTTGTCTCCACATTGTTCTGACTGAGTTCTTGTGTTCTTTTGTAGCTTTTGCAGCAGGCCACCTCCTCCAGCAACCTGGGTGCATTCAGTGGCATTCAGCAAATGGCTGGTAAGTCATGAAGCATGTCCTTTTGTCCATGCTATTTTCTGAATTTTTGGTTGTTTCAGAGGATAAAGGAAAGAACCAAAAAAAAAAAAAGAGTAAAGAGTATGTACCAGATAAACTAGTTTTTTGTGTCTTGGTTATTAAAATTGGAATCAGCTGCTCTGAAGTCTTTTTCTTGCCTTTGCATTTCATGCTCACACTCACCTTGCAAAACAATTATGAGGGGACTGCAATTTTTGACAGAATATATTCTTTAGTTATTTGTGGGATTTTTCTGTTGTTGTTGTTGTTACTGGGTTAATGATTGGGAGGTTTCCAATGATATTCCTATAACTAAGGGCAGCTGAAATGATTAACATCTCTCAAATTTTTAACAATAGGTGATCAATAAGAATGTTCTGACCTCCATGACAAAAGCAAAGATTTCCAGCCTACATTTGATACAGTTTGTAGTCCCTTGATGACAGACAATTAACACAGTGCCTTTTTTTATTTTAGTGCCCAGTTAACAGAATTGTGCATCAGAAGCTTTTATGTAAGAGTATAATCTTTGTTCTCAGAAAAATCAAAGTGGCTGTATTTGAAAAGCAGCTTATTGAAGGATTCCTTTTCATAATGAGCTGTGCCAGTAGCTGCTGCAACACAGTGAATAGAGAAAGGGCAGTCCTGCTGTGCCACCATCCGTGCTGACACCCTACCCTAGCTCGGGCCAGGAAAACAGTATGTGCAGGAAATCAGAGTACCTGCCAGGAGGGAAAGCCTTTCCTTGTTTGATTCTAAAGAAGAGTTTGGGGGCATGTTAGAATGAAGCAGTTTTCCTTAATTAGGGACATTTCATTGACTAAATGAAATCCACTTGTGTAAAGTAAAAGCCAGGTTTATTTGTTACTACAGAAACTCGTCTTTTCAACATAAGTTTTTTCCAAATGCGTACCTTTAATTGGCTTTTATATTGTCGTTGTTGTTGTTTTGGTTTTGTTGTTATTGTTTTGCATTTTGAAGGGTTTCTCCTCATATGTACTCTGTAAATAACATCATAGTGGTCTGTTGTGGTACACAGGGTTAGCACAACTCACCAGGTTATACAAGTTAGTCATATATATGGTTACCACTGTAACACAGCTTTTAGATTATCCAAGTTAGTCATATATATGATTACCACTGTAACACAGCTTTTAGATTATACAAGTTAGTCATTGATATGGTTACCACTGTAACACAGCTTTTAGATTATACAAGTTAGTAATTGATATGGTTACCACTGTAACACAGCTTTTAGATTATCCAAAATATATTTAAAATGATAAACAGTTAAATGATTGCATTGTATTTAAGAAAATGTGTTAGGAAGCTGGCTTTGGAGCTAAGAATCACATTGAATGGCTAATGTATTTATAACCTGTGAAGGAAGCTGGAGAGATAGTAGTAAAATGTTGAGGGGAGTTTCTATTCTTTGAAAGGAAAATAAAAGAAAATAAAAATAATTTTTTAAAAAAACCTCAATTACAGGCTGCTAAATACATGCTAACATTTGTCACATTTTGAGCAGGTGGGAAATTTGTTTTCTTTCTAGTAGCACAGACCATATTCAAAATTAGGGGTTTTCCTCGGGGGAAGCTTTAGGTACCCCCTACTCTCAGAGCTGTATTATGCAGAAGGTTATTTATTCCTGCCACTGGGCATGGTATGCCTTCCCAAGTGGACAGAGTGCCCTACCATTTTTCATTAGGATGTGTGTACTTCTGCCATGTCAGCTACAGGTCAAGATATTAGCATTTACATGTTCTGTGTGCTCCTTTGAAAACTAAGGGTATCTAGGAGTCACCCTAAAAGGTGTCATGGAACAGATGGCTAATTTAAAGACATTCTGTGAATGTTCTGGGGTTTCCAAAATACCTTTTCTTAAACTTTCACCATGTTAAATTCACCATACTAAGTCTGAACATACTGTAAAATCAAATACTGAACAGTCTGTTAGATACCAAAATCGTGGATATTTAAAGTATTAAAATATCACACCTCTTTTTGTGGCTTTAGAAAAGTACTGCTCACTTATAAAAATAATAAAGTTTTATCTTTCTAAGTATTTAAAGCCTTGTGGCTTGGGGTATTTTATTTTTTCAATAAAGTAAAGAAATGTCTTGTCCCAAAAATAGTATTTAGCTTTGGTATGACTTACTTTTTCTACTTTTCATTTACCTACAACAGCATTGTGGGGTGATCATGGTGGATGGGTGACATTAACTGCTTGCTGTTTTAGTCTGTTGTGTTGTTGTGAAGAGATACCATGACTGAGTCAACCTTAAAAGAAAGCATTTAATTGGGTACTTGCTTACAGTTCACGAGGATTAGTCCATGATCATCATGGCAAGAGGCATGGTAGCAGGGAGATATGGCCTGGTACTGGAGAAACAACTGACAACTTACATGTGGCCCATAAGCACTACACAGATGCAACTGGGTCTGCCATGAACTTTTGAAAACTAAAAGACCATCCCCAATGACACACCTACTCATGCTTCCTAAACAGTTCAGCAACTGGAAATCAAATGTTCAAATATGTGAGCCTATGGGAGTCATTCTCATTCGAACCACCACACTTACTAGAACCTCCAGCTTCCCTAAGTTGTTCCTCCCTCACCAGAGTATCCCTAAGTACCTCAAACTGTCACTGCTCCAAACCACACCGAATTCCTGGAGAGCAAGACCTGCCCCAGTGACTTATGGCTGCAGCCAGTCCTATAAAGGTGCTAGAGGCTATTTGTGAATACATGAGTGAAAATAAATGTATGAGTTGACAGGTATAAATTTGTATTTTGGATGCATTCCCAATAGAGCTCAAGTTAAATGCTCAGTTTTTTAATTACAAAACTTAACTTTAGCCTTACATATAAACTGGAAATAACTATAAGAACCATTATTACCACCTTCACTTCAACTTTGGAGATAGTTTGTCTAATATAATATGTGTTACATAGCACATTATATATGACAAATATAGTAGAAGTCGCAGCATAATAAAGTAGAAGTAACTCAAGAAGTTATTTAATCCCAGTCCCACCTGGAGTTCTAATATTTATTGAATGATTGATAGTCTGTCATAGTAAACATGACGATATACACAACTCATACTGCCAAAGAGTGTGAAACACTTTGGAAATCAGTACTATCTGGCTATGAACATCTTTCAAAACATAATAGTTTTTCATGGGACAGAGATTTTTAAAAGCAATTCATTTATATGAGCAAAACATTTTTCATTGGAAAAGGAAAAAAAACCAAAAAAATTTAGATGACATATTGCTAAGTAATTGCATCAGTAAAGTCTGAATGTTAGACCACAGACCCTGTAGCTGTCTTTCTCTCTCAGTCACAGAAATCAGGCCACATACCCCCCTGCATCTGTTTGGGGGAGCAGTCAAGAAGCTGTACTACATAGTATCCTTTCAGCCCTTCCCTCTGGCTATTGCAAGATAATTTAAAGTACTACCTGATGTCTACATCTTGGCACATACACTAGACCATACTTAATCATGTGAAGTAGAACTTCCCACCACCTCTGAAAAACCTAGAGAAGACAAAAACTCCTTTTGTTGTTGAGAGCATCTGAAGGCTTTCCTTTAGTAACCTCATCATGCTCATGTGTCTGTTTCTCTTCTCTCTTATAACTCTCTCCTGCTTTACCACTTCAAGCTATCTCCCCTAATGAAGCTACTCCAGATCTTTTGCCCCATCATGTTGTCTTTGGTATGATATATCTCTCCCAAGTGGTCTCATAATGCTTATCCTGAAGGATAATTTCATATAAGCTCTTTTTCCAAACCAGCTGCATCTAGCCTGTATCTCCTATTTATGGCATAATGACTATGTTTTATACTGTAGCTATATATCAGCTATATGTTTTCTTCAAAAAAATCTTAAACATTTTTCTTTGAAGCTACAATTTTTTTATAATTTATATACAACAGAGTCTTTACTAAATGTGGAATTTTAAAGCAGAAATGGATTTAGAATTAAATCTTCATAAGCTAAATCCTTTTATGTATGTTGACTGTGCTTGAAGATAATTGATTTTATTTCCTCTTTTAAAACTTCTAACAAAAACATACTCATATTTAGCTCTCCTCTAGTATTTGTTCAGTGAATTTTTGAAATTTGAGAAGCATGGGGTCTGTATCTGGCCAAAGAGTATGTATCTTAGGTGAAGGAAAACAGAACCAGAGCCAAGCACCCTTTTGATCTTTGACTTCTTCATGGCTACTGTGGCGCCTTCAAAGAATGTCTAATGAGAAAATGGAGGTGACACTTCAACATTTGCATTTAGGCCCTTGTAATATCATGCAGTTTTAAGAGTATACCAAAGCAAAAATCACCTCTCTTCTACATTGCATACTGGAAAAACAAAAATATGAAATAGTTAAATAAGTTACATTGAGACCATGGCACCAATAAGTGGAATGGTATGGATTGGGATACAGTCTCAAATACCACTTTATGGCATGCCTATTTGGAATGCCATTTAACAAGTGGGCAAGTGAGGCTTAGAAGAAGGGCTAATAAGCTTAACCCAAGTCATTGAACTAATGGGTATGGACCCATATTTCAAAACCATTTTAGCCTGATCCAAAACCTGAGCCTCCTGTCCCTATCAGGCTTATGAAACAGCACTGTGTCCCAGCCAGGCCAGGTATATTTACATAAACATAAGCTCCAGTGAGGTGCCTACAAAGATGGATGGCCTAATGGGAAAATAACAATTCCCAGTTGAAGGTAGAGCCCCACAACTGCTGAAGAAGTAGCTGGTCAGATCAAACAGTAAACTGCGTCACTTCATTCTGGAAAATGTTTCCAATTTATTAAGAGTAGACTATGTACATAAATAAGTTTGTTTCTGAGAACGAGTTCTTTTTTCTAAAGACAGGCTCTCCTGTAACCCACACTAGCCTCAAACTCAATATGTGACCAAGAATGACCTTGAACTCATCGCCCTCCTGCCTCTAACC